CAAAGTAGTTTCGCTTTCACAACGAAACACAGCGCCTTCACGACATGGCGGCGGCAACAACAATACTACAGCGAGAATAAAAGTTACGCCTTCTTTCTTTGCGTGAACATTTGGGCGGCGTTATGCAAATCTTCCCACATCGTGACGTAGACATGTGGGGGCGTGTTAGATCGAGTCGTTTTAGGGAGGTGTGGTTGACTCTTAACTTTTATAAAGAATATCTCTTTGGATTTGAGACTTTAGTCTTTGCAACTTTACAGATCTTCTTTATGCACCAAGAGCTTGTAACACTCCAAAGAGAAAGGAAAAATTGAAATCGCATCATATGACCCCTTTAAGATAAAAGACACAGTTGTAGTTCTCCCTGTATCCCTTAAAGGATTTTTTCAGGTTCATATGAAGTTAAAGGGATAGTTCACCCAAAAATGACAATTCTGTCATTCTGTATGCTATGTTGGAAGTCAATGCTCCTTTTGTCCATACAGTGACTTCTTAGTGGGAGGGGGATGTGCTACATTGAGTTACAACAAACTCAGAATCTTATGAGATTTGTGAACGTCAATGGACGGGAAGACTATTAGTGAATACAGTCCTTGGAGCTTGATAGATGGGGTTTTTAAATGTTGTCATATGGAAAAAGAGAGAAAACTTTCCTCAGCTTAAAAAAAATGCATTCATTGACATTAACATTTTCTATGGATGTCTAGGCGGCAATGTTTATTTTTTTTAAAGGTTACATATTGATTTGATCATTATAGTCACATGTTAAAGACATGTGTAAGTGTTGAGGATATACTCTAAAAAGTACTGTAGCATTTATCCCAGTCCACTGACCTCCATTGTAAACACTACTGTAAACACAATTTTTTTGCTTGTTTTTATAAAGTGAGAGACAAGCCAAAGTAATTCTGTGGTAATTGACTGTATGCCACAGATGCTGTCTGCAGCTTGTACTAAACCTGGAATATTCTTTTAAGATATGTTCCCATGTGCCCTTTATATGTGGTTTGTGAATTACCATACATTGGCTGCAATGATAAACAAACCAACTTCTGAAGAACTTTTATTTTGGACAAAAAAAGTGACAGACTCTCTTCTGAAAAGAATGATGCAACAAGTGCTGCCTAATCCCAGAGTCTCCGATCTGTCTGACACACACAAACACACACATGAGCTCACTGCAAAAATGAATTATTTTTTTTCATCAAGAACTGCAACAGAGTCGAGTCCTTCCTCTGATAGAATCTAGTGTCCGAGCTTCTGAGAAGGAACTGTGGGTCACAGAAGCGGTGCTGGGTTGGGCTGTGTGTGGGCACAGTACGGTCGACCCAGTTCAGCTGCCCTATGCAGAGCGTGTTGCATCAGGCCGGAAAAATGCTCCACTCAGCCACCAGGGCACTAATTACAGAGGACCTATGCTGAGCTCGACAGGAAGGACGTCAAAGACCAAGCATGAGGATGGAGGGAACGAGGCAAGAGAGAGAAAAGGAGAGAGAGAAGGTAGAAAAAGCAGTGGAGTGAGGAAGAGGGCCCTTAACAGCTAACAAAGCTGTAAAAATAGAAGGGTGGGAGTTGAGACGCAGACAGGGTGTGAACATTTTCTGAGGCATTATATTTACCTTCGCATGTGCAATACGTAACCAGCCAACAATAGGTTTCAGAGATAATGAGTCTGGAACTGTAACAAATAACCTTCCTCTTCACACAACCAATCATGAGCTGCACATAGAACACTGTGTGGAACACAATCTGCCTATACAGATCTGCAGAAAAGATATTAGTAAGGTTTTGTTGCTTAAAATTGAATGAGATAAAGGAGCTGCTTTTTTAACCTTCATCCCGACTAAAAGGGCAGTCTGAGAGACAGAAGCATGTGACTTGTAAATAAAGACTTGTGGAAAGTCTGCCTCCTTGTGGCATGTGAACAATGATACTGCTTTAGACTCCTGCCAGGCAGTAAAAAAAAAAAAATCAAATGGTAAATCTTTACAATAAAATTCATTTTGTTAACTGTATTGGTATTTACTTTACAGTACAAAAAAAAAAAACGTTTATTCAGCAAGGATGCATTAAATTGATCAAAAGTGACTGCAAACATTTAAATTTTTAAAATACATTTCTATTTATTATTTTGAAATTTCCTAATAAAGGATCCCAGTAAAAAAAAAAAAATCCACAAAAATATTGAGCAGCACAAATGTTTTCAACTGATGATAAATTTTTCTTGACCAGCAAATCTGCATATTAGAGTGGCTTCTGAAGGATGATGTTATTGAAAATATAGTTTTGCCATTATGGGAATAAATTACATTTTAAAATATATTAAATTATAAAAGTCAGTTATCAAATTGTAATATTTCACAACATTACTGTTTTATTTTATTTTTTTACCAAATAAAATGCAGCCTTGGTGAGTATAAGAGACTTCTTTCAAAAACAAAATATTACTGGCCTCAAACTAGAGTATAAAAAGTATAAATAAATATAGTTCGTAGTATAAATCTAGGTTAATGTTAATTTCTAAATATACCAATACATCAACTTTTGTATAAATTAACACTAAATGTATTACAATGACTTGGCGATGAACAACTTTTTAAATTAACAATCGACATTCATAGAAGTATAAAATAATTGTAAGTTTATACCTAAAGCAATAATGCTAAACAACATTGTAAACAGTTACCAAATTGTAATACTAAATACAACCATTATATGGTTGAACAGCCGTGAACGAATCTAGACTTCTAGACAGAAACCGTAAAATGGTAAAAGGTGAGTTTCCCCACTTCATTTTTGACTAAAATACATTGTTATTACAAATAACTATATTAAAATGTATAAATGAATAGAAGTGTTAAAACTGCACAAAGGTATGATTGATTTAAAATAGCAAACCAAAAACTAGAAACATCACCAACTTGCTCTGATGTAACCAAGCCTAGCAAATAAAATTCATAGATCTGTTTATGAAATCTGTAAGCTATTTCAGACAGATATTAAAGTGGCTGAATAAGCTTGAAAATAAAAGTGGGGCAATTGTCAACTGAATCCGTGCATTGGGTACCATCATGTGCGATGCAGACGCAACGTAAACCTGTAACTCCAGTATGACATTGAAAGTTGATCTCCTACAAGAACCGAGAAAGAACTGTTTTTCAGTTCTTAGATGTAACCTTTTTATTATTTGTACATTCAGCACTTACAGGAGTAAACAAAAAATTAAAAGAAAACAAAATGTCAAAATGTCTTTATGCTAAAACAATTTTAAAAAAACTATTTAAAACCAAATGTGAAAAGGTTAAATATGCATCCCATTCTCCATGGCAACAGCAAAAGGGCGGTAAAAAGACAGAAAATAGGGGAACAACAAAAAAAAAAACCTTACAAGGAATGTGAGGAAAACAAGAGGAAAATGCAAAGTAGTGATCAGGACTTAAATCACACCAAAGCCTTTTAGAGCATCACTCTTTCAGTTCTGTGTTGACTACACTGAAGGAGAAAGAGGTCACCAAACCTGGAGGGTGTCTTGCAGTCCGACTCACTTATACCGGAAGTCCATTAACACTGTGGCAGAGAAATGAACACCAGGGGTCTTAAAGTCCAATCAAGAGACAACGAGACGAGTCTACATGGAGACACAGCACCACTGTGGTCCCAGTGTGTGTGATTGCACCCATGTGTCTTTACGCAGAGAGTGTGTGAATGTGTATGTTTTTATAAAGTCTGAGTTGGTCCTCAGGAAGGTAGGCATAGAGCTGTTACAGGACATACAGGAACAGGGGTCACAAAGTGGACAGTTCCAGACTTCCTTTAGCGTCGTCGTTCTCTGGGTGGAGGGTCGCTGCGGCTTCGTGACCTCCTGCTCCCGCTTGCACTGTTTACGCCAGGCCTACGGTAGCCCTCCTTCCGTTTATCCCCCTCTCGCTCCCTTTCTCGACCTCTGTCTCGGTCTCTCTCACCTTCCCCTCCGGCGG